GCAAAAATTTAGTTCCGTCTGATAAAATTACCCAAACCGCGCCAGGGAAATTCATATTTGCTCAACGACCTTTTGCAAAATTATTTTATTTACTGAACGTTTAATGCCGCTAAGCCCAAATGGTGATAAGGAACATTCGCGTGCTTAAATGACCACTTGACTCCACAAAAAATTTTTTCGTGCTTATCATAATGACCGAAAATTTCATACATACGTACTACATTTAATGCGTACCGTGATTGCGCAGCGTGCAAACACAACCTTCAAGCATGTTTCTCAACTGTTTTCTAGTAACAGATACCGCTTTGAACTTTTGCAAAAGTTTACAACCAACTGTATTTTGGCATCAGATCAAGCATTCTAATCATAAACCAGAGACTGGAGCAATCTCAAATCTTTTTGGTGGCACTTCCATTACGGAAACTTGTTGAAACTTCGGATATCCACGACTAACAAAGTTCACAAACTGCTCTCCCGGTATCCGGGACTAATAAAGTTTATAACTCAGGAAAAAGCCGCAAACTTCTCCGTTATGAGCTGAAAGAAACTCCTACAAAATGTAAAACTCACAGTTGATACTCATACTTAATTTTTTGAAAAGTACTTAGCAAAAAGTAAAATTATGCCTGATTTTTCAACTGGCAACAGCTCTCTGTCGTCGTTACTGATGGCCTATTTTTTGACATTTATGCTTTTTCCTTATCAAGAACACAGCAAGCACATATTGCCATTTTATCAACAGATGGACTGTAATGAAACGATTTTTTGGCAATAAGCGCAGAAGCATTAGCAAAATCGGATCTTGTCAGACCGGAAAGTTACTTTTTGTATTTCAGGACTGTGTGTGTTTGCAAGCGGTGCAGTGCTGCTGGCATTAAGTCTGCTGATTCCAACAGTGGCACACTGTTTCAAGAGTAAACGGTTGGCAGCATTTGTTAGCGAGGATGGTACTCCAAATGAGCCACCGATACGCATCTATCCAGCTGGTTCGAACAAAGCAGAAGTGCATCATTCTGGCACCACCAAAGGAAAAATCAGCCCCAGCTCGTATGTTGTTACACAATCCTGCACTAGATTTTCGATTTCCTATAAAAGATGCCCTCGCCGATTCAAGCCAATAGCCACAGAAATCTAGTTTAATGCGGACCACGAACGCAAAACAAG